GGGGAATATTTGGGGTTTTTTGGGAATATTTGGGGGTTTGTTTCCAGTTTTCTAGGTTTTTTTTGGGGTGATTTCCGTTGTTTTGGTGGTTTCTGGGTGGGATTTTGGGGTTTATTGGGAAGTTTTGGGAATATTTGGGGGTTTTTGGGAATTTTTGGGGTCATGTTTCCAATTTTCTGGGGGTTTTTTGGGGTGATTTCCGTTGTTTTGGTGGTTTCTGGGTGGGATTTTGGGGTTTATTGGGAAGTTTTGGGAATATTTGGGGGTTTTGGGGATTTTTTTGGGTTTTATTTCCAATTTTCTGGGGGTTTTTTGGGGGGATTTCAGGATTTTTGGGGTGTTTGGGTTGGAATTTTGGGTGTTTTGGGAATATTTGGGGGTTTTGGGGATTTTTTTGGGTTTTATTTCCAATTTTCTGGGGTTTTTGGGGTGATTTGAGGTTTTTTGGTGGATTTTTGGGTGCAGTTTTGCAGCTTTTTGGGTATTTTGGAAGATTTTGTGGGAATTTTGGGGATTTTGGGGACTTCTGGGGAATTTTAGGGGCATATTTCTAATTTTCTGGGGTTTTTATGGGGTGATTTGGGTTTTTTGGGTGAACCTTTGGGGGATTTGGTTGTTTTTTTTTTAGGTAATTTGGGGTTTTTTTTGGGGATTTGGAAGAATTTTTGGGGGGATGATTTGGGGTTTTTTGGTGAGATTTTGGGGTTTTTTTTTTGGGTGAAATTCTGGGCTGTTCAGAGGTGATTTGGGGATAAGTTTGGGGCTATTTTGGGGGATTTTTGGGCCAATTTTTGGCATTTTTCGCAGCAATTTTTTGGGGTTTGGGCTTTCGTCGGGCGATTTCTTTGGGTTTTGGTTTTTATTTTTTTGGCTGATTTCGTTTTTTTTGTTCAGATTTTTCTGGTTTTTGGAGTTTTTAGCTGATTTTTGTTTTTTGGTGGTTTTAGGCTGATTTTTCTAGGGTATTTTAGCTTTTTTTTTGGCTGCTTTTCCCACTTTTCACTGATTTTTGGGTGTTTTTAGTGGGGCACTTCTATTTCCTCATCCACAAGTGGATCCAGCCCCGGGCTGAGGACGCCCTGCTCAGTTTTTGGGATGATTTTGGGGTTTTTCACTCAATTTTGAGCTGCTTTTTCTGAGTTTTGAGGTTTTTTGGGGCTGCTTTTCCTTTTTTTCACTGATTTCAGGCCGATTTGTCGAGTTTTGGGGCTGATTTTTCAATTTTTTTCAGGTTTTTTGGGCTGATTTTTCTGGTATTTGACAGTTTTTTGGGCTGATTTTGGGGCTTTTTGAGCTGATTTTTTTAGGGTTTTGAGCTGATTTTTCTGGGTTTTTCTTATTTTTTCACTGATTTTTGGGTGTTTTTGGTGTTTCCAGTGGGACAGTTCTATTTCCTCATCCAAAAACGGATCCACCCCCGGGCTGAGGACGCCTGCTCAGTTTTTGGGTTGATTTTCGGATTTTTTTGGTGGATTTGGGGGGTTTTTGTGCTGATTTTGGGTTTTTTTGGGTGAATTTTGGGTTGATTTTGGGTGTTTTTGGTGTTTTTAGTGGGGCAGTTCTATTTCCTGATGCAAACACAGATCCACCCCGGGGCTGAGGATGCTGTGCTCAGTTTTTGGGTGGATTTTGGAATTTTTTGTGCTGATTTTGGGATTTTTTGTGCTGATTTTGGGTTTTTTTGGGTTAATTTTGGGTTCATTTTGGCTGTTTTTGGTGTTTGCAGTGGGGCAGTTCTATTTCCTGATCCGGAAGCGGATCCATCTCCGTGCCGAGGACGCTCTCTTCTTCTTCGTCAACAACGTCATCCCCCCCACCAGCGCCACCATGGGCCAGCTCTACCAGGTCCCAGAACCCCCCAAAAACTTGCCAAAAAATCTCCCAAGCTTCCCCAAAACATCCCCAAAAACCTCCTGAAAACAGCCCCAAAAATCCCCCAAAACCTCCCCAAAAACTTCCCCAACGCTTCTCCCGAAACTTCCCAAAAAACTTCTGTGAAAATCCTCAAAACCTCCCCAAAAAATCTCTAAAAGCTCCCCAAACCATCCCCAAAAAATCCTAAAAACTTCCCAAACCATCCCCGAAAACCTCCGCAAAAGTTCCCCAAAAAATCCCCAAAGCAGTCCCAAAACATCTCCAAAGCTTCCCCAAAACATCCCCAAAACAGCCCCAAAACACCTCCGGAAATATCTCCCAAGCTTCCCCAAAACATCCCCAAAAACCTCCTGAAAACAGCCCCAAAAATCCCCCAAAACCTCCCCAAAAACTTCCCCAACGCTTCTCCCGAAACTTCCCAAAAAACTTCTGTGAAAATCCTCAAAACCTCCCCAAAAAATCTCTAAAACCTCCCCAAACCATCCCCAAAAAATCCTAAAAACTTCCCAAACCATCCCCGAAAACCTCCGCAAAAGTTCCCCAAAAAATCCCCAAAGCAGTCCCAAAACATCTCCAAAAACTTCCCTAAAAATCCCCCAAAAATCCCCCAAAAAATCCACAAACCTTCTCCAAAACAACCCCAAAACCTCCCCAAAAACATCCCTAAAAAATCCCCAAAATCCCCAAAACCATCCCCAAAAAATCCCCAAGACTTCCCCAAAAATCCCTCCAAAATCCTCAAAACCTTCCCAAAAATCCCCCCAAAACCTCCCCCAAACCATCCACAAAATCCCCAAAACTTCCCCAAAAAATCCCCAAAACTTCCCCAAAAAATCCCCAAAACTTCCCCAAAAAATCCCCAAAACTTCCCCAAAAAATCCCCAAAACTTCCCCAAAAAATCCCCAAAACTTCCCCAAAAAATCCCCAAAACTTCCCCCCAAAAAAATCCTGGAAAAATTCGGGATAATGGGAACAAAAATTGGGGGGAAAAGTGGTGGAAAGGGTTAAAAATGGGCTAAAAAATGAGGGTTTTTTTTTGGGGGGGGGAGGGGTTAAGAATTTGGGGAGGTCCTAAAATATCCTAAAAAAATTTGGGACAGTCCTGAAAAAATTTGGGGAGATCCTGAAAAAAATTTGGGAGAGAAAAAGTTAAAAGGGGGGGGAGGGGTTGAGAAGGGCTTGAAAGGGTTAAAAAATTGGGGGCGGGGTCTAAAAAATGCTCAAAAAAATTTGGGAAGGTCCCAAAAAATGTGGGAAAAAAAATTGGGATTGGTGGATCCCAAAAATGCCGGGAAATGCCCCGAAAATCCCCAAAATTTGAGATTTTTGGGGGGGGGGGGGGGTTTT